ATTTCGCTCTTGATGTTAGCGGATTTCAAGCCAAATGGCTTTCTCATGACCTGCCAAATCAGTTTCTCTATCAGTAAGACAGTTTGGTTTTGAGACATCGTCTTTGGTGGACACGGCAACCAGGAAGTACTAGCAGGTTCCATAATCACTCTAAATACGATACACCTCATTACTATCGAAAGCATGTGGAGTTGGAAGGGAGTAGAGCTGCCAGGCCTTCCTTGGGTATTTGGCATACCCCTAGAGCTAACCGGTTTTATTGATGAGTACTGGCAGCACTACCATAACAAACTATAATGCGCCCTATAACACGGAATGGCCCGGGGATCGACTCCCGGACTGATACACAGTCAAACCAATCAAAAACCTTCCTTTCCTCCCGGATCAGTTACCTGATAACAGATTAGTGTTGCGTGGGAGGATAAAAGACCGGGATTGTACATCGGCTAGTCAGCACAATTCATTGTATAAACCTGTGCACCCACTCAATCGCCACTACCATCCTGCATTCATGCCAAGGGCTGGACATATTCTAGAAACGGGATTGATTGAGGCCAAACACTTGATTCCTTACCCTCTATACACCACCTTCGGGAGACGGTCTCTACCAATTTATCCATCCTCTGCAACAACATGATTTGGAACGAGATCCATATAGGGAGCTTATCAGGTGGCGACTATTAATGGCAGTGAGATAAATGATTGAGTATAAACAGATAAGGAGCTCAAAACGGATTAGTCCCGATTTGGCGCCTACACATTCCACTTTGTAGAATTATTTTCCATATTTACTCGCACGGACTCCTTTTTACCACTGATTACTTCTGTACATTGGCGAATCGGCTTATTTTATCCATCAAATGACTTCCGATTACTGGTCGCTATATACGTCAGAGTATCCTATCCTCGTAGGCGAATCTGATACTAATTGGACGGCATCAGAACGAGCGATAGCTTGTGTCCGGACCATTTCACCGTGGACCTGATCTCGGGATCACCTAGTGCCAGTGCCGTAGCAGCGGCAGCCCAAGGCACTATCCTCCTTTCTGGATCCGGGCAACCGGCTCCGTTGGAGCCAATTGTCCATAAAATGCCATCAAAATTTTGACATAAATTGAATTTTTGCTGACATTTCAATCCAAAAAACGCCACGCAGCAGAGTCTGGCAGGCAAATTTATTGAATGGGACCAGGAAAAGCGCTTTCCGTTCCTACCCAACGAATCCATTCCAGCACTTCAAACATTGTTAGTGCTGAAGCAGTTTTTTCCTTGCCTTACTACGAACACAGTGCTGTAGGAACGTGAGCTTATGAATAACAGACCAACTCTTATTATCGCTCAATATTAAATTACTTGGACGGGCTCTGAAGTCTATGGTAACCAATCAAATTGTACTTTTTCATAGTTCACCTACAAAGTACGCTCCCACTCGGACTATCAGACTATTTAGGTGAGGCATTGTGGGTACCCACACTTAGTGCGCTCCCATACTTCCGTGATTTCTTCTCCAAAGTTCTATCCCATACTCTTATTCTGAAACGCCCACCGCGGGAAGAAGGGGGAGAGAGGGGGGGGGGGCAGGGAAAAAGACGGCCTAAAAGCTCAAGTTCAAGCTTAAACTTCTGAAAACTTCTCGATTCTATCAAATCATGCCAAATTTTTTGTCCCTTGTTGTCCTGCAAAACTACCTCACCCATTTCACAAATACCCTCCAAATATACCCAAGCGTCACCATTTCCTTACCCAGGCGTCTCCTAAGAATTTCCGCTTTTTACCCCAACAGCTTCATGTCATGAGTTGTACCCTGTATCCCAGATGGATCAGGTTTTCAGGCACAATCATCCAAAATAATAATGGCTTTACTGCAGTGCCTCCAGAGCATCTTCTCATATCTTGTTAACTACCTTTTTATTTACTTACATAAATCCCCCCGCAGCTGATATCCGTTTCCGATTCGTATCTAACGATATTATAATTTGATTCAATAACATCGCTCTCATTCAACGTCATCGACAAACGGAAGCCAGTTCTCGATTATAAGCTCATCATCCTTTTCCCCTACTCTATCCCCATAACAAGTTAGCTGATAACAAGTTAACTAATTCCCCAGTTCTCTACTCCAAAGGATTTCTTGGAAGCGTTCTACTCAAGGGAAGTATTTCCAAAACCTTACCTCCCTGGAGTTCGATGCAGCCGAACAGCACTATCGATTGATTGGCCGATACCATTTGCATCTGAAAGGGTAGAACGATTATTTCGGGCCATATAAAGGACAACTGGTCTCATTCCCAATAAACATACAAGAGAAAGCATATTCGTGGAAGAAGACTTTGTTACTTACTTGTTTTTACTTATCCTCAACTTGAAGGAAGCAGGAACGGACCGCGAGGGTGATGGGGAGGTGGTGGGCGAAGGAATTGGTTCGATTGGACAGGTCAAAGAAGTTAGTGCTCGGGTATTCAACGGTGTAGGTCAAAACGCAAAAGAAG